TTGAGCCGTATCCAGTATGCTACAGGTAGCCAGTGCAGTGCTTTTAGGGCGGGCTAGATGTGTTCCTGCACAAGAAGACACAGCAACAGCCTCGCCGCTGCATTCTGTACCAGCTGCAGCTTCCGGATTTGGGACAAGGGCAGCCCCATGTAGAGAGCATTGCAGTAATCCAATCGTGAGGCGACCATTGTGTGGATCACTGTTGCGAGGTCATTGCATTCAAGGAAGGGAACCAACTGCTTAATTAGCCGTAGATGGTAAAAAGCAGACTTCGCAGTGGCCACTACCTGGCGCCTCCATCGTTGGGGAATCTGAATCAAAGTACGGATATCCTCATGAAATATTTTATTTCAGCATCAAACCCCCATTTTACAATAATAATAATAATAATACCAACAACATTTTACAATAATAATTTAGAAGGAAACATATAGTAGACTACGGCCTATAATGCAATGGTGCACTTATTCAAATTCAGGATTATTCTTGAAAAGATATTCTGCCTGTTGAGAAAACGATGCAAAGTTAAATTCAGTGAAGAGATTTGACAACCATCTTGGTGTAGTGGTTAGAGATGCAGGCTAGAGCCTGGAATAACTAGATTCAAACCCACCCCCCATGCCTGCCAAGGGAGCTCACTGGGTGACCTTGGACCCGTCATAATTGTGCAGCCTAGCCTACCTCACAGGGTGGTTGTTGTGAAGAGAGGAATGATGTGATAAGCTGCTATGGGTCCCCATGAGGGAGAAAATTCAGATATATAAAAAAATTCCTCGAATGAACTGAAAACAGTTGCGTTCAAGCTACCTCATGTCTCCAGTATAGCTGTGGTGCTACGTTGGGACAACTAGATTCAAACCCACTCCCCACCCCCCATGCCTGCTAAGGGAGCTCACTGGGTGACCTTGGACCCGTCATAATTGTGCAGCCTAGCCTACCTCACAGGGTTGTTGTTGTGAAGTGGGGAATGATGTGATAAGCTGCTATGCGTCCCCATGAGGGAGAAAATTGAGATATAAATAAATAAATAAATAAGGAGACAATTCCTCGAATGCACTGATGTAATTCTTGGGGATCTCCAGCTCCCACCTGGAGGCTCGGTCTTGCATTGAAATGCAATCATTGCACTGCTTGACGTAACCCTCACACCATAGTGCCTGCAATCCCTTTCTGAAAAGGCAGGGATCTCCAGCTCCCACCTGGAGGCTGGGTCTTGCACTGAAATGCAATCATGGCACTGTCTGCTTGACGTAACCCTCACACCGTAGTGCCTGCAATCCCTTTCTGAAAAGGCGACTGCCCAAAACCAGGTTACATAAGGAGATGTTTCTGGCTCTGATGGGCAGAGTGCTGCCGAGATAACACCCATGTTGGTCCCCTCCCTATGACCTTCAGCAACTTTGTGCTGTTCAACAAGCCTTCGCATGTCACCACCCCCCTGCATCTGAGAGGGGGCCTTAGCAGTACTGCAGCATCAATTATAGTTGATGCACTCACAGTGCAATACTAAAGAATAACCCCATTGAGTAGACTTGAATAGGTTCTTTAGTAGATCTGCTCAGGATTGCTCTCTTTGGCAATGGAAGTCAAATAGGGATCGTGCTGTCAGGGCACAGACTAAGCTTTGGGGTTCTAGTTAAGATACCGTTCATGTTCTCACAACACAGCTAGCAGGGAACAGACAGGTAAACATATGGCTGCTGCTCCTAGCCACTTCTCTCTCTCACCTGCCTGGATAAATAGGCAGCCTGCACAACCAGAAGTAGCAGCCACTGCTGGCACACTGCCTGCCTTCTCCCTCTGGGTAAAACCTCTACCGCTGCCCCTCCCAAGAGACATAGTTGCTCATAGACAGGTGATTTAACAGTGGCCAACAGCATGTAACAGCCGCTGCTGCCTGTCCTCCGACAATCTAGCAGTGGAGACAGGGAGGAAGAGGAGGCTGCTGCATCTGCCTGGGGCAGTGGCATAGACACCACGAAACGAAGGAGGGCAGGCAGAATCCCTCTGGGCTTTATCGGAAAGTACTCAGAGGCTGCGATCACATGCACCTTTAGATCCGACATAGGTGCGAATGCCTGACGGATCTAAAGGGAAAGATCAGACAGCAACGTCTGGGGAGCGTCCTACAGTTGTCGGCAACCCGTGTTTCTCCGCTGCAGAAGTTGAGTTAAAAGACACCAGGGAAAGTCCAGCTCTAACAGGCTCAAGCATGCTCTCAAGCCATCGGGATGGTCTGATCAAGCCATCCCAGCTTGGTGCCATTTCCCCGCACCCTTCGCAGTATGTACATCATCACATACTCCATAGGGGGCCTTCAATGCGGAGGTGCGATTCCTCGTTTATGCACATGGGAAACAAACGGCCCAAAAAACCCCCGACTCACCCACAGTTGTGTCTGATCACACAGTGACAGGCTGCGCCCGCAGCTACAAAGGGAGGTGTGATCTCACAACTGCATGTCAAATTCATCCAGAGGGAATAGCATTGCTTCCCCTCCTCTTCAACTGGCGCATGTGACCACAGCCAGAGGCTCTTACAAGGCCTATTGGAACGGACAAAATAAAACAAAAATCATGGCACCTTATCATCATCACCACCATCATCTATTTATTTTATTATTACTATTTATTGGATTTGTTAATTGCCCTATTCCAGCTTATACCGAGCTCTGGGCGATGTACATAGAGGCACAGTGCCATAAAAACATATAAACATTAAAATTACACTACACAATTTAATAAAACTAAACACCTAAATAGACTCCATGATGATGTCTGGACATTTCTACCCCCAGGTCTGGACTACCGGGCCAGTTTCTGTGTGTGTGTGTGTGTGGGGAACTCATAACAGCAATTCAGGGGAGGGGGGAGGGAGAGAGGGGTGCCAGCCAAGGAAAAATCATTGCTGCCCTCAGCCAAAAGTCTGGCGGAACATCTCTGCCTTTGGAATTGCCTAAGATCCCGTAGGGGCCTGAATTCATTTGGCAGAGAGTTCCACCAGGGAGGATGGACAGACATCCCGTTGTTCAGAGTAACAACATTGATTTCGATAGAAGCTTTTGTGGGTCACAGCCCACTTCGCCAGACAGATATGTGATGGGAAACCGGATGGGGGCATTTTTTACTTTTCATATGACAGACTCACCCAGCTAGCCCTTTGCAATCATATTGGGGTACACAGCCTGATTTTTCACTGGCACAACCAAAATCAATTTCAAAAGCCGGTTATTGCACCTTGAAAGGAATATATGGCTTGTGCAGCCGCAATCTGTAGGTGAGCGGCAAGGGTGTTCTTTGCTGCTAAGGATGCTAGGGTAGACATGGGGCACCGTAAGACTCTCACTCAGTGTCGCTATGACACGGCTAGGATTCCCAGAGCGTGTAATAAAAAAATAAGACTACAGATTGGATCCAAAGCTCCCCTTCCAATGTGAGGAGCTTTAGTCTGGAGGAAGCAGCGTTGCTTAGTCAGAGGAAGGCTCCCTCCATTGCAGGAAGAATCCTCACTTCTGGAGATGGGAGTAACTGGATATATCCTTGGCTGGATATAGTGTCGTTTGAAACAACAAGAGCCTAGTGTCACCATAAAGACTCAGTCTGATTGGATCAATACGCTCTTTTGACTAGACCTCTGTGATGTAATTAACAACACAAACCTGTCTTCTGGAACAATGAGATTTCTGACTTCTCCTGGTAATAAGGCCCCAGCCCTTCTGCTGTTTGTAACCTGGGGAACAAATCTCCCCGCGAACCGACGGTGCAGTCCTTCATATTGTGGAGTCTGCTTTCCCAAGCCCACTTTGCATTACATTCAGTTAGTAGTGAGATTTATACAAAAAGTACAAACACCCAGTCGAAAGGTGACGGGGGAAGGGAACTATTACAGAAGGCCCAGTTTCCAAGGGCAGGGGAGTGTTACATCACATTGCTGAGCACAAAGGAAAGAAAGATCCAATCAGAGTGGGCGTGGACCACTCCTAACTGCTGATGAACTGACAGAGGAGAAGGGATCTGAACAGCATAAATAAACCTGTAAAAGAGGGACAATTGCATTATGCAGCGTACTGCTCACCACCACTGAACAAGAACTCGTGGGCACTCCATGAAATTGCAGAGCGGTTGGGTTAGAACGGATAACAGGAAGTACTTCTTCACCCAAAGAGTGATTAACACTTGGAATTCACTGCCACAGGAAGTGGTGGCGGCTACAAGCATGGACGGCTTCAAAAGGGAATTAGATAAGCATATGGAGCAGAGGTCCATCAGTGGCTATTAGCCACAAGGTATAGATA